GTGTGAGTTGACGAAAGGCACAACCAACTCGGAGTCGCGTCTGGCTGCGACTGCGACCCCAATCCTGTGCCACAGGTCGGCGTCCTCGCCAACTGGTGAAACAAACCTGCGAACGTACCACCCGTCGGCAACGCCACTGTGGTCGGTGACAAGATACACAACTCCATTAGACATCTGAATCGCAATGAGCAGCGCCTACAGCTCCACCCGCGGCACGCTCTGCCGTGCGCCTGGGAGGCCTCCCGACACCGTTCCGGCGATCGCAGACGCGTCGAAGGTGGCAGCGCAGACAACCGCCGGGCCCACCCGCCTGACGCGGGTGTCGGCAGAGTCGGCACCGCCGCTCGCGCCGGCGAACAGCCACAGCGGGGCCCGCTCGGTGCCGACGCCGAAGGTGATGCCCACCGAGCTGCTCGCCGCGACGCCCGACACATGCGACTCCTCCCGCTCCAGCGGCGGGGTCACTGCAGTCTGTGGCGCTGGCAACAACCCACGCAACCAGAAGCACTCCTCACTCTCGTGCCTGCTCAACGCCTGGGGCAGGAGGCTCTGCGAGCGCTCGTAGGCCAGCGACCCCGCGCTCTTGGAGCAGCTCCAGGCCCTGTGGAACATGGTCTCGTCCTGCTCGCTCGGGCACAGGCCCGATAGCCCAAGCGCCTTGGCCCCCGCGTCGCCGACGCGCCGAACCCTTGGCCAGCTGCCCCCAGTGACCACCATGCCGAGCACCTCCGCCATGCGGCTGCTTTTCGGCATGCTCTCGAACTGCTGGTCGAGCCTGCGCAGCGACATCATGTCCACGCCGTGCTCCACGCCTGCGCCGTAGAAGTGCTCGCTGGCCTTCCGCCACAACCTGGCCGAAATGGACGTCCTTAAATCACGTGCCAAGCTTGTGGGCGCATCAGCGTCAACGACACCCGACCAGACCGCGTCGGGAAACTGCCACTCGATGATCTCCCCAGTCTCTGTGGGCGGCATGGCCCAGCAGGTCGCAGACTGGGGGTTCCAGCCGTTGTCCAGCAACAGCGTCACAATCGCCGACAGTGGCCCTCTGATGTGGCGAGAGCGATGCGTCGGCACGACCCCCTTGAGGTGAGCGACCACCCACCGCTGGCCACGCGGCGTGCACTCCAGGTCGTAATGATGGCTCTTGCTGCCATATGCGGAACCAGGTACGTACGCACTCCTCAGGCATGCGCAGCGCTGGGTCCTCTGGAGCCTTCAGCCCGATGAGCGCCGTGAGACATCTCCCTCGAGCCGTCGACCCCACTGCTGCCCCCAACCTGCGGCGATAGGCCGTGAGCTGCATGCCAAACGCGCCGTGGACCTGGTAGGCGTAGGACCCTGCTGCCTGAGCCCCTAGCCTCTCCAGCTTAGATGTGACTCGAGTATGTCGTCCTGCTGCCCTGTACTTCCTGACCTTCTTGTGCATCCTGCTATACTTCTGAATCCGAGCGCGACGACTCGACCTCGCGCACGCCCTGCCGTTGCCCGAATCAGAACCAAGGTATGCTTCCGTACGCTGTTCTTTGACAACAAGCCCTCCTCGCCGTAATGCTCGTGGAATTTTGACTGCAGTTTTGAATACCGAAAATAGCACTACACTCTTCTCCGCAACACGCAAGCGAAGCCGAACCAGGCCACAACACGTATCACGCAAACGTTGGATTAAATCATGCACCATTGATGTTCGCGAACCAACCACCCTCTGCGAAATATTATCTACCCATATCCTGTGGCCCATCCTCGGGTGGGCTGTGCATATCTTCTGAAGTGTGAAGTGCGCAACTATACGGGCAAAGCGGGCCCCTGATCTCAGCCCCTGCACAATGGACCGAGTGGGGATCAGTGGCAGCGTCCAAGCACCTCTTTGGCCCAACGTGCGCTCTGACATACACTGGAGCGCCTCTAAACACAGCGCAGCTGCTGGAAAGCCCAGCTCGAGACCCCTCGGCAGCAAACCCTGCCACGGCATGCTGCCGTAGAAGGACTCGATGTCCGGGCAGGCCGTGCCCCGACGGGGCGCTGAGGGCCTGCCTGGCCTCCTCCTGAAGCGTCCTGATGAACGCCCCTCGTAACTCTGCAAGAGCGAATTGGGCAAGGAAAGAATGGGTACAATGCCCAACAGCGGATCTTGTTCGTTTTGAACAGGGCTCGCTGTCCACGCCGCCGCGGCCTGTGTCCATTCGAGACAGAGGGCCGCCTGCCCAACAGCGGCCGCTGTTGGTTTGGGACAACAGTTGTCGTTGGGCATTGTGCTCAGTCTTCCCGCACCCCTTTCGGGCGTCCTGCGTGAGCTGCGTCCCAGTGGGCTGCCGTCGCCTCGCTCCAGTCGCCCGCCACAGGCTCGCGGACGAGCGACCAGGTTCTGGCGAACATCGCGAGCAACCCTATGGCGCGATCGCCCCCGTCCTTCTTCGGCAGGAGCCTGCCGAGCACGACCAGCACCTGGTGGGGCCGGACAACCTGCTCCTCGCACGCCATGTACAGCTGCGCCAGCTCCTCCAAGGCTGCTGGCGGTAGCCTCTCAAAGTCAATCGGTGACACCTGATCGGCTCCCATTCCAGCTTGAGGGCGCATGTGATGCGCTGCGGCGCGCACCATCTCCCCCATGATATCTGGTAAGATCCCCAGCTGGGCCCTTTCCTTGGCCTGCCGAAAACACTCACGCACCTCATCAGCATCCTCTCGCGTAGGACACCACAACTTGCGCCACTTGCCCGCCTTGTGGTCGATGGTGTCCCTGGGGTGAATCAGAGTGGTGTCCTCCAGCTCACCTCCAGCGCCGCCAGCGGGTCCTCCTTGACACCCTTGTGGAGCTTGCCCAGTGCTGGGGCCGTCCCCATCCATTCGCCAAACTCACGAAGAGAAGATGCAATCGCTTGCCGTTGACACCGACTACCACTTTCCCCGCGCTCTCAGTAAAACTATCGATCTCACTTTTGTCCGCCAGCTTGATCTTCTTGAAGAAGATCTGCCAGCGCCTCCACGAGGGATCCCCTCTTGCCTGCCTTCGCACTCGCAACCCTGTGTGCGCCTGCCTTGGACAGTCTGATCTAACTTCTCCCATTGCTGCACACAAATACTCTCGCTGCGTGTGCCCGTTCTGGCGCTTGGAGTGCCGTCCCAGGCTATAAAGTAGTGTGTATACTCTGGCCCGCCATCCTCCTATCAAGTCACGCGATGCTGCTGCACGGAGTCTGACAGAATGGTGAACGACGCTCTCTGTGAAAATGGGCCCAATGCTGCGGCTGATCCCAGATGTGTCCTGACAAGCGTGGTGCTCCTGCATTGAGGTTTCAACAGAACGCACTCATGAAGCATACAGAGAGCTGACTGCCTGAGCTGCGCCCTTGTTCATGAGCCGAAAGGCTACGGAGGTCAGGACACCGGAGCGGGGAGCGCACTGAATGGCAGGAGTGAACCCCACTTCTGCAGGACACTCGTTCCAGAGCTCATCTGGAATGGGAACGGCAACTGGTGACGCACTGCTAGTTTCACTCTCGAGGCCTGCTGGGGTCGCCGAACCGGGGGGTGGGGGCTGGGTACTTAAACCAGAACGGTCAGGGAGATCGAAACCCTCGTCTTTCGCACACTTCCCACCCGAGAGGACGCAAGAGCTCGACTCACAGCTGAAGGCGGGTTCGACCTTCCTGGAATTCCCCGAATTGTTCATCTGGGCATACGCGCGGGCCTCATGAACCTCAGAAGGTGGACGACCGGCGGCGACGAACTCCGTCTCGTGAGCCCAAGGGTCCTCCTCGTCCTGGAAAGGGTCCTCCACGTGGTTGGGCTCGAGAGGCTCCCAGGGGTCCCTGCTGGGCTCCTCGCCAAGGTCCTCCGAGCTCCCCACGCTGTGACCATCCTTATCGCGTATGCCATCAACTGTATCTAGATCTCCGAAGTACTCATCAAAGCACCGTTTGCGAGCCAACTTCATCTGAGCTTGTTTTTGTTCCGCTTTTTCCTGCCGGGCCAAGCTGGACCTCGATCCTGGGCAAGGTGCCGACAAGGGTCGAGCCGCCCGCGGCAAGGGGCGCGCCACCTCGAGCCTCGTGAGGAGTTGCGCTCCTGACGAGCGCAACTTGACCTGTAACCCTGCATGAGGTTTCCAGGGAACGGATAGCACGCCTGTGACTGAAATGATGTAGCTACTGGCCGACTTGGAGCAAATCAAATAATCGATGACGGAACCCGAGGTGCCCGCGTCGCAGGTGACGGCAAGGTTGTCGGCCTCCACCAGACACGGCTCTCCGCGCAGACGGCCAAAACAACGTGAACGACGCCTGATGGACGACGTGACGTTCCAGTCGCCTATGATTATCCAGGGCAGTTGGAACGAGTTGAGCATAGCACCCAGCCTCTGGAAGCGGCCGACGTTGCTGCCGCTGAACTGCATGCTGGGGTGGCCGTAAACAATGACAATGATGACGCTGTAGCCCTGCATGTAGGCGATGATTGCCTGAAACCCGTCGAGCGCCGACTGGCCTGGCGCCCTCAGCTTCATGGACGTAGACTTGGTGAACACATTCTGAACCTGCAGACGCTGCCGTGCTAGAAACCATTCGCCACCTCCACATGCACGATGTACCATGGCTGCACTGACTCGCTTTTTGTTCTGCTTCACTCTCGCATGAGTGGCAAGCAAATGAAGACCAACCCCTCTGGCCTTCTTATCCCAAAGTTGAAGCTGAGACTCCACAACGTGCGTCTCGCAGATACCGTAGAAGTCGTGGTTCGACTTCTTAATGGAATCCCATGCTTTGTGAGACATCATGGTGACATTCGAGAAAAAGAATGAGCACGACGTCCTCCCCTCCGGATCATGACCATCAGGCCGAGCAGCTCCATGCTGGCTCCTCCCGCTGGCCCCCACTGGACCTAGTCCAATGTCGTCGGCGTCGTCGGTGGCGGGGCTCTCGCCGGCCGCCGTGGTGCTCTTGCCCACGTTGCTGCCGGTGCCCTTTGCCCTTGCCCTTGCCCATGGTTCTGCCCACCGCCGCCTTCTGCTCATCGAGCTCGGCGCGCCGGGCCGCGAACTTCGCCGCCGAGAGCCTGGCCGCGACCTGGTCGAGGCGCTGCTTCTCCTCCTGCTCGGCCTCGGCGAGGACCGCGGCCTCAGCAGCGCTGGTGGGCTCGGCCTCCATCGCCGTCGGGGCGGCGTCGGGGGTGGCGCCGCTGCCAACGCCAGCGCCAACCCCACCGCTGCCACCTCCAGGCGCCGTCTGCTCCTTGACCGACTTCTTCCTCTACTTGGCCAAGCGGTCGTCCACCTCCTTGCGCGCAGCGGCGGCCTTGTCCAGCATAACCTGGATGTCGGCTTCCTTGGCGCTCAAGGTGCTCTGGAGCTCCTGAAGCTGAGAGTGGACGCGGCGCAGCGCGGTCCCCTCGGCCTCCTCGCACTCCAAGTGCTCGGGCCCTTTGAATAGCTCCTCATTCCATGTAACATTGAATTTTGGCTGCGTGATGCCCCCTGCTGCTGAGTCCGTGGCGGACGAGGCAGACGAGATGCCCTCCGCGCGCGCAAGCGCCTCGGTGGCAGCCCTTTTCGCCTTCTCCGCCTGCGCCAGGATCTTGGCAGTGGACCTCCTCGACCGCCGTTGCTAAGTTGTCCTGGAGCCTAATCACGGCAGCGACAGCTTGCGAATGTTTATGATCTGCATCGCGCCACGCTCCCGTGGCACGCCTGACCGCCTCGGCCTCCATGCCAGGGACAATGACCTCGGAGGTGCCCATCGCCTGGAGCTTGGCCAACTCGGCCGAGACCATGGACTTGAGTGCGGCCGACTCCGTCTTCGCGGCCACCTGCTGCAACCACTGATCCGAACCGTCCTCCTTGACGTCCTTCTTTGGCGTCGGCTGTTCGGCCTGTCCGCCCTTGCCGCTCACCGAGGTCCTCGGCACGAACAGACGGACCTTGCGATTGCAATGGAAGCAGCACGACCCGTTGGACAAGAGCCGATCGTTCCACTCAAACTTGTGACAACCCTTGCACTGCGAATATGCACCTCGACCGTTGGCGGCGGCCATGGCGTCCTCAAACTATACTCCCTATTTTAGTCAACGCCAGCGAAAACTCAGCTGGAGCTCTCGGGGCGTGGTCCCCCAAGCACCCCGTGGAGGCACAGGCGAGCGGCTCTAGGTGTGGCTCCCCGCCCTCGAACCTGAATCGCTTGAGAGGAGGCGGAGGAGTAGGAGGAGGAGGAGGAGGAAGAGGAGGAGGAGGAGGAGGAGGAGGAGGCGGAGGAGGAGGAGGAGGAGGAGGAGGAGGAGGAGGCCAGAACTGTGCCTTATACTGGTTGCAACAAGCTTCATTGGCGCAGGTATCCGCCGCACGTGCCTCTGCGCGTCCGTTATGGAGTTGCGCGATCTGCCCTGCTGGCGTGCGCCGTCTCTCCCGCCCCCGTGGCACATGATGTGTGATCGTATCACTAGCTGCTCGGGTGCCCAGGGACGGCGGAGAGGAGGAGAGTGAGGTGAGGGAGCAGCGACATGATGATGTTGAGGAGGAGGAGGAAGAGGAGGAGGAGGAGGAGGAGGAGGAGGAGGAGGAGGAAGCCGGAGGGTGCGGGAGGAGGATGACAAGGAGGAGGAGGAGGAGGAGGAGGAGGAGGAGGAGGAGTATTTCGTAGAGCACGGCGCACAGCAGCCAAAACGGAGGTTAGGCGGCCCCTCCAGTCGGTGTGTGGGCGCAGGGAGCCTGTGGGTATCTGGTGGCAAAGTGTTTTCTCCACTGCTGGTGTTGCCAACGACATTACAGAGGCAACGTCGCTCGCCCCCCCACCCCTCCCGACGACGCCGATGCCCGACGAGGCCGCGGACGTTGCGGTCGAGCACCTGGTGGCCGCCTACCTCAGCCAGCACGCCGTTGCGATGGGCGCCGTCTCGCAGTACAACGCGCGGGCCCGCCAGGAGGAGGAGGAGACCGGCGCCGACAGGGCTGCCGCTTAATCGTTTCATCGGGGGTGGGCAGAACCCCCACCCTGACGCGTCGATTTGTGAATTGTCCGTTTTCGGTTCTCGAAAGAGCGCCGCGGCCGTCATTTTCCAGGCTTGCGCCCGCCAGGTTTGGGCCCGAGGTCGTTTTCACTCAACCACGTTTTGCTAAAGGGGGTTCTGTCCATCCCCGATATCGGTTCCTCGGGAGCGTCATCGAGGAGGGCGAGGTCGAACATCACGGCGGGGGCCGGGAGATCCCCCCGATTTCACGGCCCCCCTTGTTTCACTGCGCCCCTCGTCGCGCCCTCGTCCGCGCACATGCCTCGGGCCGTGATGCGGTCACCCCCTCTCTTCCTGGTCCGCTGCCGGAAGAGGGCGGGACGAGGCAAGATCACCGAGACCAGTGTTGTGCCGCCTCGGCCAGGGACGACGCAGGCCATAGGCACATCAGGGCAGTAGAAGCGTGGATTTGCTCATCGTGGGGTCGCTCTGATGTGCGCATGGACTTCCTGAAAGCGGGGCTCTGTGCGTAGAAGAGGAGGAGGTGGAGGAGAAGAAGGAGAAGGAGGAGTATGAGGAGGAGAAGGAGGAGATTGTTCAAGAGGGTTCTGGTGGTTTGTCTGGGATTATTCGGGGTTTATTCGTAGGGGGGTTCTTGGTGATCCAAGGCTGGGATGGAGGAGGAGGAGGAGGCGGGTGGGGATGATAGTGACAATGATGCTTATGATGCTGACAATGATGATGATGCTGATGATGATAGTGGTGGTGGTGATGCTGATGATGATGATGATGATGATGATGATGGTAGTGGTGATGATGATGACAATGATGTCGACCGAGACGAATATGATGACTACTACTACAATGGCAAACGATGCTGGTGGTGATGCAGATGACGTCAATGATGGCGATGGATCTGGCTACGGTGACGGCGATGATGATGGTGAAGAGAAGGAGGAGGAGGATGCTGATGATGATGATGCTGTTGCTGATGATGATTATGAGGATGACGATGATGATGATGATGATGCTGCTGCTGATGATGATGATGATGATGTTGACGATGCCGACGAAGATGCTGCTGATGATGATGCTGCTGATGACGATGATTGTGGTGGTGGCGGTTTTGGTTTATGTTGCGGTGGTGTTGTTGCGTTGGTGGTGGTGGTGGTTTTTGTTTATGTTGCGGTGGTGCTGAGGATGGCGGTGTGGTTTGGTTTATGTTGTGGTGGTGTTGGTTTATTCCCTACTTAGGCTCTGCCTAGAAGGGTTCTTACTTTATAAGCTTAAAGGGCCGGGCAGTGTTCCACGCCCCGGGCGGTTCCCCCAGGATCCGCCCCGTGGTTCTCCCAGTGACGCTCCCTTAGCTTAGCGTTGCTGATCTCATCTTAGCTTAGCCTAGCTTAACTTAGCTTAGCTTAACTTAGCC